AACTGCTTCCTCCTCAGAGTATGTTTCTCATTCAGGAGAGTCTGCTCTACTCTGTTCAAGAAAACCTCATGCTCTCTAATATGCAGAAGAATAGATACATGGCCTCAAGTTGCTGGATCTTCTCCTCCAACAGGGCCACTAACTTGCACTTACTGCAGGTATAGCTATGCAGATGCTCCAGCAACCACACATACCACAGCAGCTGCAGATGACTCTAGCAGCTTTCTCACCATCCATATTCAGTAATCTTAAGTAGGCATTAAAACAGAATTGTGTCTAGGTTGTTGTAGGTTTTTCGGGCTATATGGCCATGTTCTAGAAACATTCTCTCCTGACGTTTCACCTGCATCTGTGGCAGGCATCCTCAGAGGTTGTGAGGTCCTCACAACCTCTGAGGATGCCTACCATAGATGCAGATGAAACGTCAGGAGAGAATGCTTCTAGAACATGGCCATATAGCTTGAAAAAATTGACAACAACCTAGTGATTCCAGCAATAGAATTGTGTCTCTTTCCATCAAAATGTAAAATGCTCCTAATTCTCCACTTACTTTCAGATGTTCTGCCTCCTGAGACCATGTCCACAGGTTGAACACCTGAGGCAACACATAGTAGAACACTAAGGAGCACACAAGCATACCTCTGCTCAGTTAACACAATCAATCTTAACCTAACACACACAAGCTCACCAATAGCACACCAAGGAGTACACAAACAAGCAAGCAAGCAAGCCCCCTCCCAGCTCACACAAACAATCAGATAGCCTTATTGTAACAGTCACAATATTCTTAACTCTGAAAACTTTCCCAAAAGACTCTCCAGGGCTGAGGATGTTTAACCGAAGCTCCCTTTGTGATATTGCTACCATTATGCTCATGCAAAACTCCCCCCTTGGCCTTGCCCGTTAGCCAAGCTCTGTTCATTGAGATCCAGGGACTGGGGCTGCAGCAAGAGAGGGCTGGTGGCTGCTTGTTTCTCCCCTAAACAAGTCTCTGGCATAGGACCTGGAGTTGCACACAACAGTACACTAAGGAACACACAAGCACACCTTCATCCAGTATACACAATCAGCCTTAACCCAATAGGCACAAACTCATCTTGTGGTTTCTATTCCACCGGGTCCACATAAAACACCACTGTTGGCCTTCCCTGTTTGCAGAGCTCCATTTGCCAAGTCTCAGGGATTGGGACTGCAGTTATATAGATGCAGTCTGGACATTTTAAAGTTTAATGAATAAAACATTAATGGAACGTGGGTCTTGTGCTGAGTTTGTGCAGAATAGTGTAGTCCCAGCTTAAAAGGACCAATAAATGGGGTAGTAGTCTCTCCTTGAAGTGACTGGACTAACCTTGAAGGAGCTGGGGGTAGTGACGGCCGACAGGGAGCTCTGGCGTGGGCTGGTCCATGAGGTCATGAAGAGTCAGAGACGACTGAACGAATGAACAACAACAAACAGTCCCTCCTAAGGGCTGCTACTGCTGCTGTGGATTAGGGAGCTTCCAGACAATGCCAAAATGCAGGATTAATATGCAGGATAAACGAACCCGGGACCTCAGAGCAGGTTCCCATACAGACCTGCCAGTCCCGGGCTTTCTTCCCGTGCTGTCCTCAGGTGTGTGTATCTCAGGATAAAATGGAGGGCGGGTGGTTTTTTTAAAAAATCACTCAATTATGAGTTGATGCTTATATGCGCACATGCTATATCGTAATACAAATATGGAGATTCCTATGTGCTCATATAAACATCAGTGCATTATGGCAGGATTTTTTTTAACTGTCACTGGATTTCCTTCTTTCCCCAATTCTTTATTCAATATTATAAAGTTTAAAATAAACACTTTCAGAGACCTCTAATGACTTTCTGCTTCACCTCTTTTGAAACCAGCTGGATATCAGCTGTGTCTCCGCAGGAGCCCGAACAGCTGTTCAGCTGTTTCGGGTTTTTTTAAAACTGGCAAGGTCTCCACAAGGGGTAAAGAGGAAAATCCGACAGTCATTGGAAAATCTGCTTTTTTTGGCCAGAACTGGGATAAAGAAGGATCTTTTTGAATCAGGTTTTCCCTCCATTGCTGTGATTGAATGTGCATTTAGCACAAACATCATCTGGCTACTCCCTTTTTTAACTGTTATCTCCCGAATTATAGGTACTGTGTGGAAGCACATTTAGGAGAGCTCAGCTGAGAAGCAGAAAATGCTCCAGCCACCCTCTTGCTTTGTCCCTTGATGGGCTGTAAGATTTATTGACTTTCCTAGGCTAATTACTCTGCAGGACATGGCACACTCTTTTAGTGGCTCCAAGTATTTTAATCTTTTCCTAGATATTTCTGTTAAATTGGGCCTTGGGGACTTAGGAGATGGTAGAATGATTACAGGAATCTGTTTAGTTATTTTCACCTGAACAAAATAGGATTTAAACTGGAGAAACATGGTCATACTCCTGAATGAGTGTATCTTAGGAGGGTTAAGACACACTATGTGCCAGTGGTCTTCATGTATGTGTGCATAAAATATAATTTTGTGCTGCTTAACTCTTTTGACCACTAATGACTTCTTTAAAACCAAAGTTGTAGGCAGGAAAATAAATTACTGCCACAGTATGTACGCTTGTGTCTGGGTGCCTTCGAATCGTCTGCCAATTTATGATGACCACATACATTTCACAGGATTTTTAAAAGTTATACTTTTGTCGGTCTTAATTCTGAATTTTGTCTCCTTAATGTTTAGGTGTGAAAACGTAATTCCATGATGTCATTGTCTAATTTGTGGTAATGTCTTTATTATCACTTTAATGTGGTTGGATGGTTTTTTTTTAATTTGGGTTTTTTTTTAGTTGTTTTGGTTCTGTTAGCACCTTACAGCATTTAATATTTATTGTTATCTGTTGTAAATCTCTCTGTGCCCCCATGGGAAGATAGGGTGGTATATAAATAAAGTTTTATTATTATTATTTGCTACACAACAAGATTAGTACACGCAAACAAGATCACTGTGATGGCTTTTGATTTCAATTCCCAAGTGTCTAGGACTGTGTGGTGTATCGGCAAATAATGCATGCAGATCCGAGTAGGGTGGCTTTTTGTAGCTGGCAGATGGTAATTTTGTCAGTGCCTATTACTTTTAAGTGCAGGCCATGGTCTTTAGGTACAGCACCCAGTGTGCGGATCACCACTGGGACCACCTTTACTGGCTTGTGCCAGAGTCTTAGCAGTTTGATCTTTAAATCCTCATATCATGTCAGCTTTTCCAGTTGCTTCTTGTCAATTCTGCTATCGTCTGGGATTGTAACATTGATTATCCATACTCCCCCCTCCCCCCTGATCATGAGTGCTCCAAAACCCTCTCAGTATGAACTCGGAAGTCCCAGAGTAGTTTGACTTGTTCATTTTGCATAACTTTTTCAGGATTGTGATCCCATTAGTTTTTTATCACAGGCAGGTGATATTTATGGCACAAGTTCCAGTGATCATCTGAGCAACAGCATTATGCCTCTGGTTGTAGTCTGTCTGCACGATCTACATGCAGCAGCTAAGTATGTGATCCATTGCTTCATCTGCTTCCTTGCATCTCTATGCCCTCGCTATAATTTCCCCTTTCTTCAATGGCAGTGTGGCACATTTGTCTATTATTATTATTATTATTACGTAAGGGATACTCAGAGCTGGTTTGCCAATCCCTTCCTCTGAAATGCAGCCTATAGCTACTGGTATGTTGCAAGTAGCTTCTGGTGTGAGAGAAACAGCCGTATACACTTTGCCCAGGATCTGGGGGTTGCCCTCGACTGTTCTCTGACCTACAAGAAGCACCGCTTGAATATCAAGCAAAAAGAGGGCACTAGAAACAATATCATATGAAAGCTGACTGGCACAACCTGGGGATCACAACTAGATACAGTGAAGACATCTGTCCTTACACTTTGCTATTATGCTGCTGAGTATGCATGCCCAGTGTGGAACACATCTCACCACGCTAAAACAGTGGATGTGGCTCTTAATGAGACATGGTGCATTATCACAGGATGTCAGTGCCCTACACCACAGAAGAAATTAGTTTAGCCAGTATTGCACCACCTGACATCTGCCGGAAAGTAGCAGCCAATAATGAAAGGACCAAGGCAGTGACATATCTGGCCCATCCCGTTCGGATATCAGCCAGCATGCCAATGCCTCGAATCAAGAAGTACTTTTCTAAGATCTACAGAGATACTCGCTGGAACACCTCAGCAAGCGAGAGTCCAAAAGTAGCAGGCTAAAACCCAGAACGTCAATCAGTGGCTGATACTGGATGAGAAACTCCCTCCTGGGCACACAGAAGACTGGGTGACTTGGAAGGCGCTGAACAGACTGCGCTGTGGCACCACAAGGTGCAGAGCCAACTTTAAGAAATGGGGCCACACGAAGTGGAGTCCACGACGTGCGAGTGTGGCGAAGAGCAAACCACAGACTACCTATTACAATACAGTATGAGCACAATGCACAATGGAGGACCTTCTTATAGCAACACCACAGGCACTCCAAGTGGCCACCTACTGTCAAAGGACATTTAGCATAATGCCAAGTTTTTAAGCTTTGTGTTTTTTAAATACAATACAACTGTACCCTTGGTTTGCTTCTGATAAGATAAATAAATAGCAACTGGTATTCATGGGCCATCTCCCATCCAAGTATGAATCAGGGTTGGCCCTGCTTAGCCTGCCTTTGACAAGAGTCACACACTCTCAGCCTCAGGGGTAGGCACAGGCAATCTCCCATTGGATCAGTTTTCCATTATCAGTGGGAAATTACTCGAAGGCACACTAGAAGGACAACAGCGGGAGGTGTAAACGAGGGAGGGGTTCGTCTTGGCAACAAATGGCGGTGGCACAACTTCACAGAAGCCTCACAGAAGCCAAGAGAAAAGAGGACGCGCCAACACGATCCCTCCGCGCATGCGCCACAGGGGAGAGGCCGGCGCCCCATTCGCCTACAGGCAGCTGGGCTCCGCATTGGGGGAGCAGTAGAGTGGTCGAGGGACAGAGGGGCGGCACGGCTTCCTCGCGTTCTCCCGGACTCGCACTGTTGGTTGACGTCACTTCCGGTTACTCTCTGTTTTGGAGGCCGCCATCGGCGGAAGAGGGAGGATGGTGAGAGGAGGCGGCGACGGAGGCGAGGCGGAGGGGAGCGGGCCCACGGAGTTCCCGGAGCAGTTCCGCTCCTATTCGGAGAGCGAGAAGCACTGGCAAGCGCGGCGGGCCTTCCTGCTCCAGAACTTGCCTGCTGCGGGGGGCGAGGGGCCTCTCTCTCCGCTGCACACGGACCAGCTGCTCTCGCTCTCTATGGTCTGGGCCAACCACCTCTTCCTGGGATGCAGGTAGCAGGATGAATACAGCACTGAATGAAACACGGAGAACAGTCACGGGCCAACTTGGGCCCTCCAGGGGTTTTGGACTTCAACTCCCACCATTCCTAACAGCCTCAGGCCCCTTCCTTTCCCCCCTCAACTTCCTTAAGCGGCTGAGGGGGAAAGGAAAGGGCCTGAGGCTGTTAGGAATGGTGGGAGTTGAAGTCCAAAACAACTGGAGGGTCCAAGTTGGCCCGTGCCTGGTGTAGAATAATCACAGGATATCTTAAACCTACACCTGCTGATAGACTTTACAAGCTACCTGGCATTGCCCCCCGTGATATGCAATGGGAAGTTGCTGCCAACTGCAAGAGAAAAAAGGTTCAAGCCTGTGAAAGCCATCCACTGCATGGTTATCAGCCTCCACTCAGTAGACTCAAATCAAAGCAAAGTTTCATGAGGAGCACCACTCCTCCAGCAACTGCAAGAATATCCCCCTTGGGCAGCAAAATCAGGCAATTCCAACTAGATACCCCCCCCCCCCCCAGGCTCTTCCTCCAGGGGGCAAACCAAGAATGGGCAACATGTATGCACAGAAGCAGATTTTATTTATTTACTATTTAAAGCATTTATATTCCGCTCTTCTCACCCCGAAGGGAACTCAGGGCGGAGCGCAACATATAAACAGCAAACATTCAATGCTGAAACATACTAACCCATACACATACATTAAAATCATTTATCTTGACGTTAAAATCTTCTAGTTAAAACTGTCTCAACAACATTGAATTTGACCTCACAACCTCTGAGGATGCTTGCCATAGATGCAGGCAAAACGTCAGGAGAGAATGCCTCTAGAACATGGCTATACAGCCCAAAAAAACTGACAAGGACTCATATCGAATTTGGTTGGCATACTAAGAGTTCCTATCGCTGCCTCATTGCACAATCCCAAAGACTTGGTCCCACAGTCACGTTTTTATCCTTCTAAAGGACAAGAGGGAGGGGGCTGACCTGATCTCATTAGGAAGGGAGTTCCATAGCTGAGAGGCAATCACTTAGAAGGCCCTGTCTCATCCCCGCCAAACGCGCCTGTGATGATGGCAGTACCGAGAGCAGGGCCTTCCCAGAAGATCTTAATCTCCACGGTCCAATGCAATAGACACACAGGCAAGAGGGGAAAGGAACAGAAAAGCTTTACTCATATCAGCAGAGGCAAAGCATAAACTTGCAGTGTTGCATACAAAATCAAACAGTGCAACAAACTTACATAGTCCTTGTAAGTAACACAGAGTAAGGCTTCTTCACCTTCATTCAAATGAGAGAGCAAAACGTAAACCTTGAGTAATTATTCCACCATAGCAAACAGCATCACTGTTAGAGCTTAGTAGCATTACAACATATTGCTTCTCCAAACTGTATTCTAAAATCCATACAGTTATACCCCATCGCGTGTGGCCCACCTTACCAGTAGCACATAACTGACCTACCTTACCAGTAGCACATAATAATTAACATCATAAGGTTTTTCTTTAACACACGCACTTGATCCTGCTACGACTTACTGTAATAATGTGGAAGTCCCTGAGCAGACACAGAAGCAGAGTGGGCAGATCAAAAGACAACCTGGCTAAATGGCACTACCTAGAAGAATCCTCCACCTTGTGTGATTGTGGAGCAGTACAAACAACTCCCTATCTGTGTGCTTGCCCACAATGCTCTGCCTCATTCACAGAGGAAGAACTGTTTAAAGCAGGCATCCTCAAACTGCAGCCTTCCAGCTGTTTGAGCCTTCAACTCCCAGAATTCCTGACAATTGAACAAACTCATTGGGGAAGTTGGAGGCCCAAAGAACTGGAGGGCCGCAGTTTGAGGATTCCTGGTTTAAAGCTACAGACAATGTGGTTGCTGTTGCTGTTTTTGGTCTAATTTTTTTAGCTGCTTGTGATCCCTTTATTTTATTAGTTTTATACTTATTAAATAAGTTTTATATTTATTAAATAAATGTAATGCTTTTGACATGGAATAAAAACAAACAAACTACAACTCCTAGGATTCCACAATATTAAGCCATGACAGGTAATGTGATCCCCAAACTGCATTTATTCTAGAGCAGGCATAAGCCAAATTCAGCCCTCCAGGTGTGTGGAACTTCAACTCACACAATTCCTATCTCCTGGTAGCCCATGACTGCTTTAGAGTGTAGATGCACCCTATGACTGAAGACCAAGGATTGAGATCCCCACTCAGCCATGGGATCTTACTGGATGACATTGTAGTTCAAGGAAAATCAGATCCTCCATTAGTCAAAGGATTCCATGCCACAGATCCCCCAAAGTGGGGGCACACAGGGTGCATGGGAAGTTTAAAGCCTCATTTATGCTGTATAGCCCTTTTTCATTCTCTCCCAAGGCAGCTTCGAAAAAGTAAACAAAGACAGTAAAATGTCACCCAAAGTGGAAGATCGCAGTCCTGCAAACTTTTAAATGTTATTTTTAAAGGAACGTGGCATTTTAAATCCAAAAATGACTTGAGATTTGCGACATCACAGTTTTTTCATTACATGCTTTTGATGTTTTCGAGTTGTAACATGTGACTGAATGAAATGAGTATTGAAACTTGTGAAAGAACTGTGTATGGTGCAACATTATTACTGTGTTTTACTGTGTTTTTTTTCTCTTCAAATTCGGTACCCCAAATACATTAAATAAAGCTACAATGTTGAGGAAAATATTATTCCATTGTAGGCCTATGAAAAGGTGGCTGTGATTGTCCTTCTCTCCTGGGGGATGCTGATAGCAAAGTCTTAATCCAAACTTAACTTGGTACCAGTATCGGATGAGGAAGGCGATACTGGCAGTTTGCTTCACTTTCCTGCCTGTCCATAAGGCAGTTTCTTTCAACAATTGGATATAGGCCATTTGAAACTCCTTATCTAATGTCAGAACAACATTTCATCTTGAAAGTTCAGTTTCATTGAGCTAACAGACTACTATATTAAACTGAATATTGTTGTATAAAAGTAAATGTACATCTATATTACAGAAGACGATGCTCCAATCACACTTGTTTTTATTGTACAGCTACAGTAAAGATCTCTTGGACAAGGTGACAGAAATGGCTGAGGGAATCGAAGTTGAAGATGTTCCACATTTCACTACACGTGATGAAATAATGAAAAAGGTGAATATTCTGGGTGGACAGGCTACTAAAATACCAAAGAGAATATTTTGAGTCATAAAATAGATTCACATGTCTGCATGTGACCCCACTAGGAGGACCTCTAAAACATAAAATTAATTCATTTTAGTAGAATGTTGTGATCCTGCTTTTAAGTATGTCCTAAAATGTTTGCTCTCGTGCAAATCAGGAACAAATCACTTATTTCACATCGTGGCTCACAGGAATCAGCAGTTTCCTCTGAAAAAGTGATACTCATATTGGTAGGAGTAGCTTTGTAACAGAACAGTTATAGGCACTAGAAATAAATGGTGGGTAAGGGTTAAAAATTTCCCTGCCTTATGCGTGAGCACGAATGCTTTATGGTCACGCAAAGCCAGATATGGATACATCTTTTTTATTATTTTCTTTAAAGCTCTCTTCATATGTGATCCATTCCCATTGTAAACTAAAACTGAGCTTAGTTTTTAAACTTTTTTATCTTTCATGGCTGCAATGGAAAGCTTGATTACTTGGGGAAATCTGGAAACAATCAATATAGCAGAAGCAGAGCTTCCCAAAATCTCAGTTACTTCTTGCTTTATAGTTCTGCGCTGTAGTACTGCTAACTCTCTAAAGTTCCTTTCTGCTTTTTCAGTGTTTAACTACTCACAGAATATGGAGTCTTTGGCAAATACTGTATTGCAGTTTAATAAATTTTCTGGTTATGCATAGCACCAGTTTGCCAAAACACCATGCACAACTGCCCCTGCAGAAACGATTATCCTAAAATAATGAAGGTAGTGAAACCCAGCATATGTTTGTGTGTTTAAAAGTTTTGGAAACTCCATAAAGACCGCATAACATAGCTGGCATTGCAAAGCTTTAATAAAGGCTTTGTATTGCCTGTAGTGAATGACACTAGTGAATCTAGGGCCCCATAGACATGTCATAACTGTTGCAATATATAGTGGCCACAAGAGGAAAGAGTAGGCTGTGCTGACCTTAGCTATCAAGACCATGTAAAAACTTACTGTAAATATAAAAATTGTAATGGTCGTGCACATGACTCAACTGTTCACATTCACTTTTTGTCATTCTGTTCACTGTATATATGTAACTGACTTGACACTGTCGCACCTAAGATATAGCACTGTTTCTTTTTCTAGACTTCTGTAGACTTAAATGATTGAGCCAGACTGTAACAGGAGTTTATTAATTTTAATTACTTTTTAAAGAATGGCTATGAATAAATAAACTGAGATTTGTAGATAGAGTATAAAGGGAAAACCTCTAGATATGTATTATTTTTGGAGCATAAAGCAAATATTTATTATCTTGTATGAAACTTCTATATTTCAGATATGATGATTTTTAACTGACTTTTGCTTCATTCCTTTTTTTAGAACCAACAATAATGACTGAGGGAAGAGAGGAAAGACTTTCATTATGCTATACAATCCATTATTTACGTGGACTACTATCATTTGGGAACTACAAGAAGCATGACTTCTTACATTGGGTATCTATTTTACAGGGTTTTAAAGAATCCATATGGCTTCGGTTCAGATTATTGAAAATTCTAAAGCTCCCTCCCTCATTGATAATCTGTCATACAATCAAAACCCTTCTAGAAACATGGCTGTAGTTCAGTATAGTGGTTTTTCCTAAATCTTAAGACTTACTTAGGCAATCCAAGTTCTTAGAAGGCACCTGTGCATGAGGTTTTTTTTAATGTGTGGAGATCAGTGCACAGCTGATCAACACACAATCTTCCCAGAGTGAGGGTCCCAACCAGTGGCGTGATTAACACAATGATGGTGGCTTCTCAATCTGTTGCAGCCTTCTTCCACCTTTACAGCTGTTGTAACATGTATCATATTATCCTCTGCCTGATTGGCTGTTAAGGTCTTCGGATTGTGCTTGGTCAGGAACCTCCCTTGCAGCCCCTCCTGGGAGTGCATGACTCATGTGGTTACATCCGCAGGTTCATTGGAACACACGAGCCCCCTCACCACAACAAGGTGATAATTCATCGAGGAATCCAGCAGGTATCATGTTTAGTAAGATGTAGGTACCAGGCAGCTAGAGAGAAAAGGAAGGCCTGACTGTCAGAGCAGAGAGAGATGTATACGGTGCACTTCACTGTGAACTTCTGGAGCAGTCAGAGCACATGTCATGCCTTCCTGCTGTAATGTAGCAGCTGTAGGAGACAGTTGGACAAGGAATCTGCATATGTACTGAAGCACGATAGGGGAGGTGGGCCCTATACTATTTACAAATATATCTGCCCTCACGTTGGAGACCATCAATTGCATGGTGAAGATGTTGCTAAATGTAGCATTTGCTGTCATCAAACAGGAAAACAGTGTCAATAATATGAAGAACATGGTGGAATGTAGTGGCTTTTATCAGTATCTGGGTTTTCACTTAAATTACTCAGCTGGTTTTGAAAGATGGTTTGGAAATGCACATAAAGACATTGCTGATTTTAACATCTTACTCTGATGATTAGTAAAAAGAGCACTCCATCTGCAGTGTAAAGGGCAGTTAATTGCTAAGGGGTTGTAGAAAGAAATACGAATATCATGGGTCCTCCACATACTGATCAGGGGGTACAAGGCATTTTTATTTTATTGAAGCATAGGAGCAGAGTGCTACCGACACTTCACAGGTTGGCACAAATGGATGATACTGAGGTAGCAAGACCATTCCATAGGGAGCAGTGACTTACTACATTTACATGTGATGATAGTCTTAAGGACATCACCAAGGCCCTCCAAATTCCTGAGCATTCCTGTGTGGGATATCTCAAGGGAGACATAAAGCCAAGAGAGAAGGACTAGGCTTTTACTGGGGGTGTGGGGGAGGGAGTGATAGCTCAAATCAGAAAGCAGGAACACATGAAGACTGCCATGTACACTGGAGAGAAAAATTAAGGCCAGTTCCTGACTTTTTAATTTGAAGGATGAGGTAATGCAGAGGGTCTATACTCTGCAGCAGAAAAGAATACATGGAAAATAGAGCCAAGGGGACCTAGTACCAACTCCACCTTCACTCTTAAGTAACAGTTTCACACCCCCCCCCCAAAAAAAAATCAGGCCATTGGTTCTACATGAAACTGAGAAAGTTGTATGACCAAGTGCCAATTCTAGAACAGTAAAACTCAGAGAGTAGTGGTTCTTGATTTTTTTTTGCCTTTCTAGTTTATCTAAATTTATTTGCCTTCAAGTTTCAGATTCTCTGACTTCCTGTCATGCTGTTTGAAATTTCTAGCAATTGAATTCCAAAATACTCAAGACCCAATATTTAATAATCATTTGCATAGTGGAGAGCATGATGACCCACTATCAAAGCACATGTTGAGTGTACGGGGCACAAATCTAACTACAGGTAGCCCTTCTGGCTCAAGTCTTGTATGTTGTAGTTGGAGGCATTGGAAATCCGTATACTACTGGCATTCTTAAAAAAGAAACAGCTAGAATACCAAAGAATAAACATTACTTTGGAATATACAGCACTGTCCTTTGAGTTTAAACGAATTTTCCTCACCACACTAATGCCAGTCAAAACCTTCTTTTGCTACCTTGCCTTTTTCTCCCCCTTGTATTAGTTAAACAATGTCAGCATCAGCAGCCCTGTTGCTTTCTTTCCTTCTGGGTTTATATGGCCAGTTCACTACTATATCTATGTCAGTTGTTGGAGCCTTCCCCCATTAACTGCTCATCTGATACCTTTCTGGCATGCTTATACTTTGGGTCCTGCTTTGAGTTAGTATAGATCACATTTCCCAAATTCTGTTCCTCCAGGTGTTTTGGACTTCAGCTCCCAGAAATCCCAACCAGCTGTTAGGAATTGTGGGAGCTGAAGTCCAAACCATCTGGAGGAGTACAATTTGAGAAACTGATATAGAGAGAAGCTACACTGTGTGAACTCTGCCACTTTATAAATGAAACAGATGATTTCCTGTCTATGTGGAATTTGGGTATTCTGCTTATTTAAGAATGGAAGAATGATGGGAACAAATGGGAATAATGAAAACAAATGTAATAATTCTTCAATTTAATAAATGAATAAAATTTTATAATAACGACACTGTCTCCCTCCTTCCTTGAGTTTCACATGTTTGAATATGTTTGTTTTAATAGTTTATCTTTAATATTGGTGAATGCAGACTTTCCTAGAAGCTTGATACCATAATAGACGCTGCTAGGTTATGTTGATAATGCTAAATATATTTGGATGGAATGTTTAATTAGTTTTCCATAAATGTGAGCAGTAGATATGGAAGGATTGTTAAAATAACGTTGCAGGAAGCTGTATTTCTATTTTATAGTCTCTTCTTTGCCTGCTCTGAAGTGAATCTTCTTTTCAGAAGATAAATAAGCTGAGTCTCTTTCCACTTATTGTGTACAAAGTGCATATTATAAAATAGGTGCTGAACATTAAAAGCTAAAGAAAGCCGAGTAGATCTGAAAAATTAAGATCTACTTCCCTATCATTAAAATATATTACATATTCACATGTCTTCAAGTTGCCTGTAAACTTATCCCAACCCCATGAATTTCACATGGTTTTCTTGGCAATGAATCCTATTGAAATGAATGTTGTGTGTTTAAAAAATATTCGCAAGAAGTTGGATCCAGTCATATTTAAGTTAAATCTGAAAACACATACAGCTATCACTATTTTCAAACAGTCTCTGCTGCATATGGATCTAACCAATAGTAGTAGTTGTGGTGGGTTTTTTAAAGTGTTATGTTTTGAACAGTGTATTACATTAGTTAGTTTGTGCATAGGCTGGAGTATAAATCCTACATTATTACTGAAAAGTTGGTCATACTTGATTTGGGTGTATTATGCTATAAAACAAGGTAACTTGAGTGTGATATTGTGTAAAACCAAATGGCTATACAGTATTCTCAATATCCTGCCTAGATGGATTACTTTTATGAATGCCTTAAGACTTCCTAAAATAATAGGCCTTTAATTTTCCCGCAAAAGGCAACTTCCATACCCTTGTTTCCCGTTACAGTCCTCAGAGCTGCCAAAAATGTTTTTTTCAACCACCAGAATTGGGTTTGTGAATGTACATGGGAAAAAGGAAGTATTTTCCACCTTTAATTCTGTGCTGTAGCCTCAAACATGCAAAACTACATTGTACCCGTAAAATTAACATGCAAATTTGTAAAATATGTGATATTGTGCTTGTTTGGAATCACTTGCAAGGGGGAAAAGACCGGTAGATGAATGGCTGAAATCATTTTCTCTCACTTGAATTGAAACTATTCAGCTGATTATAAAATAAACCTTCTGCGCTATGAGTCATCAGTCAGAGCTATAAGAAACCTCACAAATAGGGCTAAACAAAGCAGTTCAGGGCTTGATCTACACTGAAGAATTAATGTAGTTTGATACCACGTTAATTCACTCGAGCTGACTCCAGGGAGCATACTACTCTGCTGAAACAGCTCTACTGGCTGCCGATTTGTTTACGGGCCCAATTCAAGGTGCTTATTTTATTTCGTATCAAAAGCATTGCATAAATTAGTATAAAGTAATAAAAAATAGAAGGTGTGCAGGCGGCTAAATATCTTTTGATCAAAAACGGGCAACAGCAACGGCATTGTCTGTAGCCTCCAACAATTCCTCCTCTATACATGAGGCAGGGAACAATGGACAAGCATACAGCTGAAGAGTTGTCTGTTTTGCTCCACAGTCACACAAGGTATGGGATTCTTTTAGGTAGTGCCATTTTGCCAGGTTTTCTTTTGATCTGCCCACTCCACTTCTGAGTCTATTCAGGGACTTCCAGGTTGCCCATTCTTGGTTTGCCCCTGGAGGAAACAATGTTCCAAGTTCTTGACCTTCCCAGGTGACTTTCAATTTCCTGTTGGCTTCACGGTTGCGTAGATGCACATACTTGTGTTTTGGCGAAGCAGTACTAATGTGAGCCGACAATAGTAAAATTAGCCTCCTCCATGACAGTAAATTACCACCATCATTTAATACTGGCCGATGGAAGCGTGGTTATAACCCTGATCTGATTTTTGTAAGTGACAGCATAGTCCACCATTGCATTAAAAGGGTATTAAACCCAATACCTAATACTCAATATGCTGCCAAACATATGCAACTGTAAGACCACAAAATGCCCCTTTCCGCAGAAGATATAATTTCAATAAAGCTAACTGGACAAAGTTTACAGAGAACTTGGAAGCAGCTATTTCTGATATTGAATCATCTATAGAAAGCTATGATCTTTTTGTAAAAGCTGTGAAAAGATCTTCAAGGCTCTCAATCCCCAGAGGCTGTCGTACAAGCTACCTATCAGACCTAAACAAAGAAACGCAAAACCAGCTACAGGAATATTTCAGATTATTTCAAAAGAATCTATACAGCAACGAGACTACAGCAGCAGGCCAAAAATTATCTACAGGCATTGCTAAAGCTAAAAAAGACCGCAGGATAGAACTACTTGAGAATCTTGACATGTCTAAGAGTAGCCGAAGAACCTGGCAATTGCTGAGACGCATGGATAGTGACCCTCTGGTCAATTGTGGACATGCAAACATAACACCAGACCAGATAGCACACCAGCTAATTCAGAATGGGCAAACCAATTGCAGGAAAGTAAAGGTGAAAACCAACAGGGTGCCAGAACTTGAAACCCACCAGATGACATCTCCCATAAACCTGAAAGAACTCAGAGAAGCAATTAAGCGATGTAAAACTGCTAAAGTACCAAACACTTGGACCCCAAAGCTGAAAACTGGCTTTTGAAATTTAACAATCAATGCTTGGCACACAAAATTCAAGGTGCTGGTTTTAACCTATAAAGCCCTACATGGCTTTGGTCCAGAGTACTTGAGACACCGTGTCCTACAGTACAGACCAATCAGACTACTCAGATCTAGCAAGGAGACTCTCATCTCCATTCAGGCTAGGGATAATCTACGGCTAAAAATTGCTGGAGAAGCCACTTTTCCCAGAGCAGCACCGAAGCCATGGAATGAGCTGCTGGAAAAAATCTCTCCCATTCAGAGAAAGGCGGCATAGAAATTCCTGAAATAAATAAATAGACTTGTGCTCAATGCTATGGAATATACATAGTTTATTATTGTTAGAAGGTGTAAATTTACTACTGCAGTTGTTGGTTTTATATATCATTTATTATGTTGTATTTGATATGTTTCTAGAATTTATTTTTATAAAGTTTAAGTAAAGTAAAGGTTTCCCGACATTAAGTCTAGTCATGTCTGACTCTAGGGGGTGGTGCTCATCTCCATTTCTGAGCTGAAGAGCTGGCATTGTCCGTAGATACCTCCAAGGTCATGTGATCAGCATGACTGCATGGAGTGCCGTTACCTTCCCGCTGAAGCGGTACCTATTGGTCTACTTACATTTGCATGTTTTCAAACTGCTAGGTTGGCAGAAGCTAGGGCTAACAGTGGAAGGTCACCCCGCTCCCAGATTCAAACCACCAACCTTTTGTTCAGCAAGTTCAGCAGCCCAGCAGTTTAACCCGCTTCACCACTAGGGGGGCCCTTGTGAGTTTATTGGGCAATAATAAGTGGCTTCCTATTAAGTCAGTAAAGTATTTTAAAGATTTTAAGGAGAGGAGGGAAACTAGAGTCTTATTGGCAGAGTATTTCGGTGTTAATTATGGTGGCAACAGGAAGAAAAAAGGCTGTGAAGCAAGGCTGACATTTGAGAAACATGTTGATTGGAGCTATCAGATTTTGTCTGTCTTCTTCTGTCACTCCTTCACAGCCCTGAAAAAAAGCACAACTGCTAGTACACCACCACAATTCTGGCCATAGAACCCTAAATGCATGTGGCAGGTATCAGTTGTTACACTTCTGCCTAATAACATCCCATCCATTTTCCCTCCTTCATTCCATACATCTCAATTTAGTAACACAAATTTACAAGAGTTCAAAATTGGAAGCATGGAAGAGCTATTTTCTGCTTTATCATTCAGTCACTAAATCCAAATGCATAACTATGTTTACAAAGCTTAACATGTTTAGCAGATTAAAGTATGTATTTCTCTTCTGCTGGGGAGGGGGGGGGGAGGATAGAAAACAAATAAGATTTTGAAATTACAAGTAAAATTATTTCTAGAAAATGTCTTGAATTTACCTTAGCAGGATGCTGATAATACCACAGTAAATTGCACTAGCCAGTCTTTTCATTATCCAGTTCGTTTGTTTTATAAGAATTGGAAAAAAGCTCTGAATGTGATGTCATAAGTACATAAAGAGAGCTTTGTTTCCTTCATCAGCCAATCCTGTTTGTAATAGCAGCCAGGCAGATTCTTTCTGAAAGCCCATATGTAGGCCTTAAGCACTCCCTTGCTGGTTGGCTGCCAACAATTGGCATTTTCATCTAGCCTTCGTGACTACAGCCACCAGCGCTATCTTGTGGAAGTGAGTTTTGTAAAAGATGGGCTTCCCTCCATACTGAATCTACATCTTATAGTTTATGCTGAGTAACACTTCCTGCATTCTAGGCAACTCGAACTCTCAATAATTTTTTTATTGGACTTAGTGGACCCTGTCAGGAATCAGGTTTTTGCACAAGAGTTACCATCTTGTTGGATATTACAGTTGTTGTTCTGTGGCTTCAATCCTATCTGGAGTTTTCTTGCCAGAAAGGCTTGCCTTTCCCTTTCTCTGACGCTGAGAGGGTGTGACTTGACTAAGGTCAAACTGTAGGTTTTCATAGCCGAGAGGAATTCAAACCTTGGTCTTCCAAGTCCTAGTCTACAATGAAACAACTTCACCACATTGACTCTCATACAATTCTTGTTAAGGGAGGTCAAATCTGCTTCAAGGTCAGGCAAATCATTGCTTTGGTACAACTTGTTCCATTTAGGAGGGTCTTGAGCCTGCTGATGGTTCTGTGTAATTTGATTATGACCTACATCTACCTGGAGGATGTCACGCGCTTGGCTTGAATCTGCAAATGAGCTTCAGGTCTTGAAAGGTTGTTTCTTCAATGAAAACTGTTGGAGAAGAATCTGTATCCAGTAATATGAATGATTTATGATGGTTTTTAAATGCACAATTGCTTATAAATTAGACTTCACTACTCTACAAACACAGAAAGAAAATCCTTTTATACAGGTTTTTTCCCCTTATACAATTGCACAAGAATCCTAGCTCTTATATGTGTTGCATGTGTTGCATGTTATGTGTAAATAATTATTCAATAGCTGCTTTGTTTGTTGGAAAACTACTCCAGGGAGGGATACTTTGGAACAGGAAGATGGCAATGAAGAATACACAACCCTTTTCTAATTTGCCATGTTGCTCCAAATTGGCTTTATCACAGGAGGTTCTCCATCGTACCTCATAGTATTCTTAATACGTTTGAGTGGCTTTTTGAAACTATGGGGTAATCAGAGGGAGTAATTTAGAATTAAATGAGTCAAGAGAAGGATGAATAGCCCCTGCTCCCAAATATGTCTTTCAGAAAGGCATTAATGGGGAGAAAGGCCTGTTCCACTTATGTGTAGCTCTTGAATGCGAGACTGTCTGCATCATCTTGTTGAAGGTTAGATGATCATTAGAAGGCAATTCTCCACCAGGTATTTGAGATGCCACTGCATTTGTAGACTCAGCCCAAATGCTGGTGTTGTGAACTTTGAACCCCAATATAATTTTCATGCAGTTAATTCAAAATTGGATGTGCAGTCATATAAATCTTTGTAGAGGTCTTACTTCTGGCCCTGAAACCAACATCACCAAGACCAATGAGCACTATAGAAAGGGCTTTCTTGGTGGTGGGATTTACCATATAGAATCCCTTCCACCAAGATACACAATGGGCATCTTCTATGGCTACTTGTAAAAATACAACTGTATTCTGTAACTCTTGCAATGAAAGGATTTTCTGTATATTCTGCTGCCCCATATGTGAATTGTTGACCTCCAACTCACCATATCATCAACTGCCCAGCTTATGTCTTGCAGATTCAGGGCTGTGGCTTCTTTGACAGAACCTATCAATCTATAATGTGGTCTTCCTCTTTTCCTACTGCTTTCAACTTTACCCAACATTATTGTCTTTACTTGTGAGCCTTGTCTTCTTCTGATATAGCCAAAGTGTGACAGTCTCAGTGCAATCATCTTGGCTTTTTGTGGGAGTTCAGGCCTGATTTGCTCTAGGGCCCATTTATTTGTCTGTCAGTCCATGGCATATCTAGAGCTTATTTATTTTATTTGAATAAGCTTATTTTTAAATTGGTGGATTTAAGATGATTTTGATAATTAATTTATGGAAATTATTATCTATAGGATAGGTAGATCTCAAAAAGCAGATAAGAAATATATGTTATAAATAAAAAATAAACAGTGTGGTGGGTATTCCTATCTGCTTCCAGTAGTAGCTTCACTGTGGAAAGTTCCGGCAAAACAGAGAAAGTTACATTATACTAGTTCAGATTACCTTGTTTATCACATGCTATCAGATCAAATTGATCCAAGGTTGGTAGGGGAAATATCCTAGTTGCTTTTCCTTTCATCTGGAAAGAAGTGGGTGGACTTTGTTGCCCCCTATTGATTGGAGCTGCCAAGACAGGGAAGTCCAATTTAGCTGCAAAGGAAGCTCTCATCTCAGCTGTCTTCCTTTTAACACTTTGCCAACAGCCTTTTAGGATTAATCTTATAGCAAGTACTTGCGTGATAAAGGAAAAGTGGTGTGACTTAGCAATATATACCATATATTTGTATTTTAAAAAGAACACCCACTTGTACTCTTGCTTCTATATGTCATTATTTTACAAGGTTACTGGCATCTAATGTATCCAGTTAAACTGCACCAGTTAATTTTGAAAAATTATCTGATGTTGGTTGTTAACATCCATTATTTTAATTTCATTATTTTCATTTATTATTGTGAAAGAATACGAGAATGTTCCCTAAACAAATGACCACTTGTGTAATTCACCTTGTTCTGAAAGCTTCACACAAAAATGACGTTGGTCACTGGGAATTTGGAAATATTCCCTTTTTCCTGAGTGATTAACTTTGGAATTCATCTATTCGGCCAATCTAGAAAGTGGTTCTCTCTCCTTTGGCAAAAGCCGGCCTCAAATGACCTGGTGCACTTGCTAATGAGGTTGTTATAGTAACATGTATTCTGATATCAGTACATCAAGACTATTTATAAATATGCAATATGACCTCAGCCACAACAAAGATCACACAGGCAGAGTCACAAGGATACTGAATGAACTGTTTATGTAAATAGTTCTAATGATCTAGCACCAAACCTTCACTTTCCAGTCTGCTTATGATCTCTAGGTAGTGGTTTTGCCTAATGAAGAGGTGTGCCAATAAGGTTTACAGGAGTGTTTTATATACACACACATGGGTGAATTCAGGATGTTTTGTAGTATCTTATTTGTCTTTGAATGTTGGGACTTTGTCTCTCATGAATATGTTTTCTACCTCATAGCAGAAAAGAATATTTAAGTGTTTCAACATTACTAAATTTAGGATGGTGATTGCTTCAAATCAAGATTTAGTCCCCCCATTTCTCAGGCTTCTTATGCAGTTTTTCCTAAAATCACCAATGACTATGAATTCCTTAAAATGTTTTAGATTCAAATAGTACTTTTATGTCCACCAAAAAGGGGGAAACTATTTTGCAAAGGATCTCTTATGTTTGCACCATCATGAATGTGGTCCAGAATTGCCATTGTCAGATTGTTTTCCATTATATCTTTTAGGGTTCACACTTGATATCATGAAATCACTACTGTGAAGTAATGCAGTTCAAGCTCAATAAAAGGCTTGCTATCATTAAGGCTGAAGAGTTTTTCTTCATATCTATTAGAATTTAAAGTTACAGTCACCCTTCCACATTTGCTGACGGGCAGGACCCCACAAATTTGAAAAAATGGCAGGTTGACCATAGCAATGTATTGAATGACCTAGAGATTCCCAGAAGTAACATTTTAATCAAATCCGCAAAAGTCAAACCTACAAGTGTGGAGGGCTGACTGTATTTCCAAGCTCAACATTGTGTAGATATTCTGCATCTTCCCTAAAATGACAGAAATACCAAGTAGAATCTGTAAGAATCACAAGAGCACAAAACCCCACTGTTGGAGAGTTGTTTATCTAGGACATGAATTATGCAGCAATTGGACTTTGCATTTTACTCACTAGATCTGCTGTGATGACACCGTCTACCGTGTTAGGTCTGGATTAGGTCAATATTGCCACTCAAACATAAAGTCTATTGGGCTCTCTCTTACCTTACTCTACTTTGCACATCTCAGACAAAAAAATGACAAATGTAAGCAGCCCTAATAAAAACCCACATCAGTCATGGATGTCAGTGTATTAACTACTTCACTATTGGGAAGACGTGTTGAGAACAGTATGGCCACTTTATCCCCAGAAAAAAATCTGTTACCTGAGCAGAATTTTGAACTGCATGCGCAAAAGACCATCTCACTATGTGGAGATGCATTTTATAGTAAGTCTGCATGCAAGGGTTCTGTGAGCCCATGGAAAGAAAAACTGAAAGAAGTGACAGAAAAAATGTCTTGCACTGAGGTTATGTATTTCAGCTTTACATGAAATATTTTATATATAAAACTCTGTTAAGTGATTTTTGTCCAATTTAAAAATCTAAAGAATTCAAAAATAAGGCATTCAATATTTTGAAAAAAGTACAGATTTACAAAATATGTATATTCTGTCATGAAAACTTCACACCAACATTATACACTTTGAAAAAAATACAAACAGGATATATTACAAATTTATGTAGCAATAACTTAGGTCATAACATGCAATAAAAAGTACATTAATCAAGGTACACAAGCTTGTAGAGTTTTGAAACTGAAGGGCTTATTTTTGCAAATACACCTGTATGCAAGTCAAACGTGGCACTTGAGAAGTTCCAGGAGCATTTCCTATCGCAAGTTAAATTGTACATGATGATTATGAGGATGCCGGTTAATGAAGTAGTCAATTTCTTATGAATCATTCCAACTTTGTTCAACAATAGCAGAAACTCTTTTTTCATATTCACGTTTGTTTTCTTGATAAAGCTGTGCAGCCTGACTATTGGCAGGACTATTTGGATTAGGTTCGTCAAGCAGTGACTAGAGGGTGAGAAGCCAAGGAGGGGGAGAAAAGCAGAGAAATACCCATTAGCCTTATCAGCAAAAGAGGAAAAAAAAACACACAACACTAATCACATTTAACCAGACAGTGCCCTGATCTTAGAAAAAAGGACCAACATGTACTTGCCTCATGTAACTTAGCTACATCTCCTGACACTACCCACCCCAAACATACTTTAGAAGCAGTGCAGCACTTTTGAAAAATAGAGACTATAAATAAAGAGGTGCTTTTAAAAATGGCAATTAACAACTTTTGGGAGGCTATGTTTAGAAATACAGCTTCAATCCTATGCAGCATTAAGAATACTTAATCCTGATGATTTCAATCTATAATATATTTAACTGTCTTGGATTTAAACTCAGTTGTTGTATACCTTCAAGTCATGCATCTAAGGTCGCCCAGTGGTTTCTATGGTTGTGTGGGGATTCAAACTCTGATCTGCCAGAGTCCTAATACAACACTCAAACCACTGCATCACACTAGCTTTCTTCAGAGTAACTATTACTAATATCCTTTCAAAAGTAATATGTTATGCTCTACATCTATCACAACAATTCTACCAAATGAGGTTTATGAAATAGACTGGCCTTAATAAAGTGTTACCTGGTTAATACAAACAATTCAAACTATTCACTATAGTGCATTGCTGCAGACAGACTGGAAATTGCTCTTTACTCTGGGGAAAAAGTAGATGCATGTGTTATTTAAGAAAGTTACCTGAATTGAGGTTAAAATAGATGAGACATCATATGTTGGACTCCAGCGATTCTGAAGGATATCTAAACATATGCTACCATCTGCATATACTAAAATAAAAGGTTTTAAATTACGGTTATTTCAACTTCATTTTGTTCAAACACTGAAAAGACAGTAATATATTCTTCCAGTAGTTCAATATTTTAATTTATGTTAAATCATCCAGCAATCTCTGCAAACTAAGTACTCAATAGGCTTTGTTTCCAAGTATTGTTTTTGTATTTTATTTATTGTGCCAGAAGCGAATTGAGAATACAGTTAGAGCGTATAGAAAAACCACAACGTTTCCCAGTAAGAAGGGCGCATAATTTATTTCTAAGACTTTACTCCATTTATAAGTTTTCGTGAATAGGCAGCCTGCAATTGGCAGCATAAATTAGGAAAACAAGTTTCACCATTTATGTAGCCCCCATGAAAAAGATCACATACAAATTGCATCTGATTATTTTTAATTAACTTATTATTAGAATTATGTGATCAATTTCTTTCAATTTGCAGCAATTTACAGGAAGGAGTAAATCTTTATATCATTCCATACCAGTGGGAAAATAAATGTGCTTCATGGCAGAGTGTGTTCTTTCTTATTTATTTATTTTGCATGTTGTGGGGCTTCTGCACAAAGAATTAATTTTAAGCTTTTCCAGTCTTTCTTCATACTGGAGCCTTTAGGCTTAGTGACTCTTTTCATAGACCTAGACCACCTCTAAATATATGAGGCCCTTCAGAAATAAAATAACAACCAACAAGTATAGCTCATGGGCTGTAAAAAGTTTGAGCTAAACAGATCATCTTCAGCAAACTTTAAGGATATTCAGATATTGCAGGTTAGAATAATATTTCTGAACCATTGTATATACTTACCATTGGGATGAAACATTTTTGATAAAAACCTAACAGTTGGAGGTTTATTTGGATATTCTTCTGAAAATTCTATTATTAGCTTAAACGTACCTGTATAAAGAAAACAAGGGGAGGGGAGAAATAAAGGTAGAAATGACACTCATTTTAAGAACTGAAACATGGTACTTTACAGTTTGAATATACTGGTATTGCTATCTTGCCATATCAAAATACTTTGAGGCAGTTTGTAGTCATACAGTATATTTCTAAATTAAACATTATAAACATTATAATCTGTATTAGGATTTATTACTCTAAAAACAGCATTAAGTGAAGTATTTATTTTTTATTTCAAACACTGATAAAAGCTGAAGTATACATCTATTAATAGGAAATAACATCAGCAGCTACTTAAGAGAATATGGAACAGAAACTACACCACAAGGCAAGTACTCAACTATCAACTGGACTAAAAACAGTGCATTAATAAGGTATATTCCTGTGGAATTTTGATGGGCTTAGAAAGATATAATAGTGTCATGAAAAATAAATCCAAGTGGATTTCAAGAGACATTAAAATATTTGAAGAATTGAAATGCTTCATTTATCGCTAACTACTCTATATGGTGAATAGTCTCCCTTCCTTTTACATAGTCTGTCTTTCTTGTATTGAACCTATTTCTGTGTAGAAAGCAAGACTGAAACCTGTGCCTGAGATCTCTCTCTCTCTCTCTCTCTCTCTCTCACTCACATAGACAGCCCATTATCTCACCCTAGAAGCGACTTGCAGTTTCTCAAGTTGCTTCTGACATGGAAAAGGAACTATTTAGGAAAACCTCATTTGTAACACAAACACACACTTACTTGTGTGCACAAAGACAGAAAAAGAGAAAAAGAATGATTCTCTTCCAAAGTAAATTCTAAACACTTTTATTTATTTAGATTTACCTAATTAACAGGCTCTCAAGTTCAAAACACAACACACATCTTATGCCCTGTAAGTAGTGTTTTACAAAAAAAATCTTTATAAAAATTAATTTCCTTACCACATAGTATAAGTGACAAGAATAAGATAAATACAAATTCAAGCAGTCTGAACTATAAATTTACTGGGATTTATATATTATAAGATACCGACTGCTTCTATAGGACGCAGATATTAATATATAACTGCTTTAATCGTTAGAATAACTTTTAAAGAATAATGATATCTTTGTCTTTAAAAACATTTCCACTACTTGAATCTATTCTTATAAATGATGCATATAGATTTTAAAAAACAAAACAAAAAATGAACTGCTTTTAACAAAGCAGACTTTCTGCTTTCAAAAAAGTTCTACAAGACACAACACTGAAGCATGAAAAATGGGTGACTAAAGTAGTCTGCCTAAGCCCTGCCAGAACTTTCCCACACTTTACTATGGTTATTTTCAACAAGACAGCTTCACATACACGTAAGTTCAAGGGAATTTTCAGTTGCTTTTATTTTCAAGCATCAAAAGATGACTCAGGATCATATGCTCTGGATGAAGCCAGATACTGAGAAACACACAAATACAATGGAATGTAAACTTCCCCTTCAACTCCCCCCCAATATTTAGGACTTTGTTGAATATAACTGATTGAGCCTGAAGTTTGGTTGTAGGAATGGATTTTTCATTCACTCTTTTTCTCTCTAGCTCTCATTGCCTTATTCTTTTGAAAATCCAATTGAACACTGGTTAACATGGATTTGGAAGACAATAAAGCTTGCCCATCAACAGCTACCTGTGTTTGTGCTGTTCCATGTCTTGAGTGTCTTGATGGAAACTGTGGCCAAGATCCAAGGAGCTACTACTTTAAGGGGTGCTCAAAACTTTGGCAGAACCAACAGAGTTGGGGGAGGGAGGAGGGCTAACCCATCCCACTTTCCCAAGGAATTCATCATGTAGCATGAGAGATTTCTGTTCAAGATATGCAGGTCAAAAGTGCCTTTGAACATGCACGACTGGCCATGTGGCTCTTTGGATCCCAGCCTTTTGTTTGGCCAAGATGTTATTCTCACTAAAAACAGAAATCTCAGGAAGGAGCTCCGAAATGTTCTTGACCAACATCAGGAAATGATCAGAATTATCAGCACTTGGCCTATAGTCCTGCATGCAATGCAATCAGTCATATGCCGTCTCATTTATAACACTGATGAAAGTCCGATTGATTTGGGGCTTCATTGACACTTTAGTATTGTTGTTGGCATCTGGCCTAAACACCCTAAAGGGATCAGATCATGTCTGATCTTGGAGGCTAATCAGAGTCAGCCCTGATGACTACTTGGATGGGAGATCACCATGGAAAATCAGGCTATGTTTTAGAGGAAGGAATTGGCAAAACCACCACTGAATATTCCTTGCCTACGAAATTCATAAGGTTGCCATTAGTCAAGATGCAAATTGTGGGAGTTGAAGTCTAAAACACCTGGAGGAAGGCCCAAGTTTAAGGTACATGAGCACAAATGTTTAAAAATTTAAATTTAAATCCATGCACTTTCGTTCATATCTGTTTTCAAATGTGACAAGTAGGGATAGGAAATATATGTCGTTCCAGATGTTGTCAGATTAGAATTCCTATCAATCCTTGATCACATAGCCAATGGTAAGGAAAAGCTAAAGGTTTCCCCTGACATGTCTAGTCATTTCCAACTCTGGGGGGTGGTGCTCATCTCCATTTCCAAGCTGAAGAGCTGGCGTTGTCCACAGACACCACCAAGGTCATGTGGCTGGCATGACTGCACAGAGCATTGTTACCTTCCCGCAGAAGCGGTACCTATTGCTCACATTTGCATGTTTTCAAACTGTTAAGATTTGGTAGAAGCTGGGGCTAACAGTGGGAGCTCACCTCACTCCCCAGATCTGAACTGCCTACCTTTCGGTCAGCAAGTTCAGCAGCTCAGCGGTTTAATCAACTGCACCATCAGGGGGCCCTATCGTAAGGTGTAACACACTTCCTCCATCCCTGATTTATACTACTGAAAAAAATAGCGTTTGTATATATTTATGATAGGTAGACCTTTGGCTGTTACTTTCTAGTTTCTCATGCACTGTTATCAAATGCAGGTGTTGCAAGCCAATATAATAAATTATTTCTGTATTAGAAAAATGCACACAACATTAAATTACTTACCATCTTCAAAGGGAGTGCCTTCCGGCCTGGAAAAGGAAGACAAGAGCTTTATAAAGCAACTCCTTTAATGTAGATGAACTAAAACAGAACTCCTGCTTTACTACAATTTAGGTTCTCATAAAACTGTAGTATACATTCCTGAAGACAGATCTGGTATCAACTTTAACGATTTCACTGCATTTTCTCTGACAAAATCTGTCTCAAACTAGAGTTCTGCATGTTAACGCGACAACTGAATTTTCAAAGGCCAGATTACTGTTGTGGATTTATTATGCTGGCATGATTCCTACTTGACAGCGGCTGTTGCATTTTCTCAGTCCCAGGAAAAAAATTCTGGAACTCATCTGCAGAAATGGATACATCATGTTGGCATTGTGCTGTCCCTAATTTACATAATGGTGCTTAAGTAAGAGGTGTTCTTAACTCTAAGCAGTTATACCAGAGGAATGGCTGGCTTGAGATTTATCTTGTACAGTCACTTGTGTAATGGTATGACCAAGCATAAATGAGTATGTATATAGTCATGCTGTAAACATGCTGCTCAGGATCCTGGCCTACTGAAGGGACTGAAACATTTTTGACAGTAACGTGCTCCAAATTTAATAAATGGTTTTTTGCTTGCACATTTACATTTTGAGTCAAAACAATTCTTGAAAAAAAAGAAGCCCTTATGTTCCATGGTGCACTGTTAGACTGATGACTTTGGGAACTGAGGATTTAAAGTTAGCTCTCTGAATCCAAGGATTCAATCACCCAGGGCTAAAAATATTTCACACACACCAAAAATCCAGAAATAAAATCCCAGATGCAAAGCCTGATTTTGCAGTTTTATATGAGGGACAACATTTTATTACATCACTGTATATAATGAGACCTGAGTATCCATGGATTTTGTTATCCACAGGGATTTTCCTGGAACCAAATCCCAGAGGATACCAAGGAATCATTGTACTTATTAATACATCCACCAAGGTGTGTTCAATCATTTTAGTATTCTTATATAGCCTTTCTAGAAGTCTAATATATAAATATTCCCTTCCCACTTACCCAAATATAACAGCATTCCATTGCATTATATTGTTTTCAGATGGTGCACCACTGACCCCCACAGGTGGGTCTTCTTGTAATCTTTAAATAATAGAAAGAAAAGGGAAAACAGACATAAAAATCAACATTACATAAACACATTAGCTATGCAGACTGATAATAATCAGAGCTGACAAGTAGTGTATTAGCTTAGTCTTGCAAGAAAAAAGAGAGCTTTGACCAAGAATATATAAGCATTCTCCCCTATTGAGAAAGATGTTAGTCGGGATTTAAATCAAACTATTAGAATAAGAATTGTATAGACTGGACTAGATAAAATCATTACCAGGAAGATAAGTATTGGTTTTTAAGTCACAAACTAACAAGTTATCTCTTCAATGAGGTGCCCTATCTTCTCAAAGCATACAGAGAAAATTACTGAAAAATGTATAAATGCAGGGGAGGCATAAAATCCTCTTAAATCCAACTGCATTGCAATAAATTTAAATGGTGCTGTTCTATTTTGGATGGCAGAACAGTCTGGCCTCAAAGTGTACTGTGCCTTCCCTTTTCAACCCACTTCCATATGCTTCCCTGTTGCAAAAACCTCCCATGCGGCCTTCGCACAGCCAGGAAGCATCTTCATTTTGTACGTCATTCAATCCTTCAGACTGGATTATGAAGAAGATATCTCTTACAGACAAACTGAACTGATAGTGTGAACTCCTTCCACGTGGCAAATATGACCTCTGCAACCTTACACCGCAGCAGCCTGCCTTCCCTTAACTTTGCTACACAATGACGTCACCCTGATAAACATTAGTGAAGCTGTACTTCCTTGACCGTGTTTGTTAAATTAGGGAGTCTGTGCAGGAAAAGAGACCTGACATAATGCAGATCATTCTCTTAGAAACCTTAACACTGCTGCCTAAATAGACTGAAAGCATCAGATCCTGCCTAATCTCAGAAGCTAATCAGGGTCAGGTCTAGGTACTATTTGGATGGAAAGTCGCCAAGGGATGTAGGCTATACTCAGAGGGAGGCAATGACCAACCTCCTCCAAATAAATCTAGCAAAGGAAACTCCATGAAAAGGCATGCAATACCAATACTATAGGTATTACTTTGAATGTCATTCCCCAGGAAAACCCTATAAGATTAATGGCACTGGCATAGGTCAACAGCCGACTTGAAGGCACAGACACACAATGACAAGAAATGTGTAAGAAAATAAATAACGCCAAACAAATACATTTCCACTAACTAGAAAGTCAAAATTTACAATAAAACAGCATGAGGGCAGTGAGAAATTATGAACACCATGTTGTTAGGCTACAGTTTCTAGCTCCTGTGTTTACATAGCCCTGTTCTTCAAGCATGCTCAGTTCAACCAATTTAATGTCAACAGCAGAGGCTATCCAAAACTTGGCCAGGGAGCAAAGGAACGTGACTTGTTGCTACACGATAGCCAGCTTGCATGCCAGCCCAGGCCTAAGCATTAAGCCCCATGGGCCCTTTAGAGATAGTTTTAGATCTTAAAGCTTCAGGAACATCATGCTGTGAAAAGCCTTTGGCTGTAAAGATTTTGCTGCCCAAATTGGGCTTTCACACACAATGAAAGTTCACTTGAGATCACAGAAACTATAGGGACCTTATCCTACCATACCAGCCTAGATGAAATAACTTGACCAAAATGTTCTTTCTCCTGTTAATTCAAGATGTTTGGAACAAATAATAGTACTTAAAAGAGTCATAGGGTGTGTTTCAATTATCCCAGAGCTTTGACTTGAGAACTTTCTCCCTCTTTTCTTGGTCACTCTGCTAAATCCAGCTATCTAGAAAATAGTTTAGAACAGTGGTTCTCAACCTGTGGGTCCCCAGGTGTTTTGATCTACAACTCCCAGAAATCCCAGCCAGTTTACCATCTGTTAGGATTTCTGGGAGTTCAAGGCCAAAGGTTATAACTGTAACTGTAGCTTTCTAGATATACTGAAATAGCTATTAAAAGCAGTTAGGTAGTATTAATTCAGCATGGATAATAAATGTGATAGAATAACCACTACCCGAAATAAGCCCCAGGGCCCTTCCATACAGCCCTATATCCCAGAATATCAAGGCAGAAATTCCTACATTATCTGCTTTGAACTGAATTATCTAAGTCCACACTCAGACAATGTGGGATATTCTACCTTGATATTCTGGGATATAGGGCTGTGTGGAAGGACCCTCAGTGTTCCCAAGAAAAAAACATGTTTGGGATTAGAATAATGCTGCATACTGTCACTGTGCTCTGTTAACAACACAACTCATACTGTTGTGTTGGCATAACCCCATTTAATGTACTGGGAGTGAGGCAAGCATCCGCTGCCCTATGCTGACTCAGCAGCCACTGCATGATCCCAATCTGAAATATTTGCCCATTCATAAAGGCAGTCTTGCCAATTCCAGCCTAAAACAACGACTGACATCCTGCAGCCGAACTTGCTGACTAGTCAGTTTAAATTACAAGGAAACAGTTACACCATTAATGTGGTGATCTAAATCTTTTTACGTGTCCAGGTTATAAATTGTGATTTTGGAGGAACTGTAACATGTTTTGCTGCGGAATCCATCTGCAGTGCCAGGAAAGTCCTTTTGGAGAGCTTGCTTTTCCTGGCAGCTTACTTGAGAAACAGAAAATGGCCATTATTTTTGCTAACTTCAGCATATCCTCTCCAGATGTCAGTGAGAACTAAGAAGCAGAGAAGGACAGGACTTCCAACTATAGGAAGCAGCCTAAAAGAAACATAGGGCACAGCTCTCCACATACAACAGGGAAAATCAACAGGCTTCCTTGTGAAGAGCAACTTTTTCTACATGCCATGAAATGGCAGTTTCAGCATAACCAGTTTTCCCCCCAACACTACAAGCTGGCTATACAGCAAAACTCCCTATGCTTTTCTCTGCCATCTTCCAAACCACTTTCTGAAGAGTTTCAATTTTCAAAATGTAACTATTATACTAATTCTGTATAAGCTTAAAGGGATATAATGCAGCAAGACTGAAATACACTGAAACTCTACTCTGGAGCACATATGTGGGGATTAAAAGATTCAGGATGAGAAGAAGAGGAGGCGGCAGCAGCAGTGACTGGACTGGAAGAAGTTTTATTTACAGCTCCAGGGTTGGCTCAGTGGGTAACCTGAGTCTCTTACAATAGCTCCTTTTATTTTTGAAGCACTGCATTGGCAAAATGCTCAGATCTGTTGACTGAGAGCATCGCAAGCGAAACTCTGGTAAACTGTACAGTCTGTATTCTGAGCAGATTCAAACCCCTTCCTTTATTATAGATGCAATTATTTCCATGAAGGTGACTGTGCCTTTTATGTAACAACAACTTCAGTATGGGATGGCGAAGAGGGAAAGTGTTGCTTCCAGTCTCCCAAGACAGCAAAGGGTATTTATTAAAGGCTTGGCCACGACTGAGGCAGGATGCCCCAACATGGTATAAACAAACCAGCTCGTTCCACCAGATCAGTATTTCTGCCAAGGCCAACCCACTCCATTTCCACTCAGTTTTGATCTAAAGCAAGTGTGGGCAAACTTAGTCCTTCCTCCCCTTCCTCCAGGTGTTTTGGACTTCAACTCCCACAATTCCTAACAGTTGGTAGACTTAGGAATTGTGGGAGTTGAAGTCCAAAACAAATGGAGGAAGGCCCAAGTTTGCCCACGCCTGATCTAAAGGCATTCCTTGCCCAAGGCCCAGAGGGAGAAGCCAATGGTTTGAGCCATTGCCCCAAAAGTACAGATAACCCCTTCTCTTTCTTTATTTTTTGGAGTGGGGGCATCCTTTACGCCTTCTGTCTCTAGCTCAGGCATGGGCAAACTTGGGCCTTCCTCCAGGTGTTTTGGACTTCAACTCCCACAATTCCTAACAGCCTCTGCTTGCAATTGTGGGAGTGAAGTCCAAAACACCTGGAGGAAGGCCCAAGTTTGCCCATGCCTGCTCTAGCTGAACCCTGTTTCTTCTTCCAAATGTATCCTGATGCCTACTTCCATAACAGGAGAGGAAAAGGAAGGAAAGAGGGGAACTTCTCAACCTTTTTGCCCTCCCACCAGCTTGGGGGCAAAATCCAGACGGCCCCCTCCTTCCTAGACACGAAAGGAAAGAGGGGTAAGCAGGGGAGCCAGGACCCCCAGGGAGGCGCGGGCCCTTTAAGGAAAGGAGGGCCATCCCCAGAGCAGGCCCAAAGCAGAGGGGACGAAGGAAGGTGTCCAGGGGAGAGCAGGGCCCCACTTGCCTCTTGAAGTCCCGCATGAGCCTCCGCCTGGCCGGAGTGGACATGGTCTCCCCTTTTCCCGGTGGTAAAATAATCCCCGCTCGGCCTCAAACAGCCTCGGCACCAAGGGCGGCTCACTCCTCGTCCGCTGCCGCCGCCTCCTCCTGCTCCGCTGCTTCACAAACAACTCCGCAATGGCGTCTCCCTCCGCCAGCGGGAGGGAGGGAGGAAGGCAGCCTCCCTTCGGGACCGTACCACTGCGCCTACTTGGAGGGGGGAGAGCAGGAAGCCTTAGGAACGTGCCACTGCGGGAGGGGAGGGCAGGGCGGCGGAAGGCGCTTTCCCTCTCCTCCTAGGAACTTCGCTTCGACATTCCCATGCGTTCAGGGAAGGAGAGGCAGCGACATCATGACTATTTTCCCATAGAGTTGGAAGAGACCACAAGGGCCATCCGGTCCAACCCCCTCATTCCATTCCAATGTAACAACAACAACAACTCCTCCGCCCTGCTGGTGGAAAGAGTTGCTTTGGTTGGCCTTTGAAATCTTTATTACCCTTTAAGGCAGAGTTTCACACAATCCTTAAACAATTAAAAAAAAAGTCTTGCCTTACCATCATCTGAATGGGATGGGCAGAATCTAGATGGATTTCACGGCAGGTGTTTTGAATGATTTGCAGTACATCAGCAAATTTTTATTATTAACACAAAAACAATGGCTTCATACTACAAGAAAAGAGTTTCCATCTGAACATGAGGAAGAACTTCCTGACCGTGAGAGCCGTTCAGCAGTGGAACTCTCTGCCCTGGAGTGTGGTGGAGGCTCCTTCTTTGGAAGCTTTTAAACAGAGGCTGGATGGCCACCTGTCATAGAATCAAAGAGTTGGAAGAGACCTCATGGGCCATCCAGTCCAACCCCCTGCCAAGAAGCAGGAATGTTGCATTCAAATCACCCCTGACAGATGGCCATCCAGCCTCTGTTTAAAAGCTTCCAAAGAAGGAGCCTCCACCACACTCCGGGGCAGAGAGTTCCACTGCTGAACAGCTCTCACAGTCAGGAAGTTCTTCCTCATGTTCCGATGGAATCTCCTCTCTTGTAGTTTGAAGCACTTGTTTCGCGTCCTAGTCTCCAGGGAAGCAGAGAACAAGCTTTCTCCCTCCTCCCTGTGGCTTCCTCTCACATATTTATACATGGCTATCATATCTCCTCTCAGCCTTCTCAGTCAGAGGTGATTTGAATGCAATATTCTTTCTTCTTGGCAGGGGGTTGGACTGGATGGCCCATGAGGTCTCTTCCAACTCTTTGATTCTATAGTACACAGCAAACAAGGTCAGTCTGCTGGCTACTGTATTGGATCACACGTCGGACACTTCCCAAGTGTCTAGGACTGTGTGATGTGTCTGCAAATAATGCATGCAGATCCTAGTAGGGTGGTCTTCTGCAACTGAAAGATTGTGATTTTGTCAGTGCCTCTTGTGTTTAAGTGCAGACCAAGGTCTTTAGGCACTGTACCCAGTGTGCCGATCACCACTGGGACCACCTTGACTGGCTTGTGCCAGAGTCTTTGCAGTTCGATCTTTAAATCCTGGTATTGTGTCAGCTTTTCTAATTGTTTCTCTTCAATCCTGCTGTCACCTGGGATTGCAAGCTCTAGAATGTGCTCCAAAACTCTTGTCAGTCTGAATTCGGAAGTCCCAAAGTAGCTTGACGTGTTCATTTTCTGTGCTGGTCGTAGTGTAAACTACCAGTAGGTTCAACCAAGCCAGAGTGGGCTCAACTGAGAAGTAGAACTAAGTGCATCCAACCCATTTAAATATGGTAAAACAAACTCTAAAGAAATCAATATTGGCTTGGTCGTTGCCCAGGATAATAAGGGCCGCGGCGAGTGCTTCTCCTGGGCACCCGTCAACAAGTTGGCTACAGGAACCAGGACCCACTGCTGAGCAACCAGGGCATGGGCCTGTAGTTGGAAGCAAAACAACCACAGAAGCATTATTATTGTTATTGTTATTGTTATTATTATTATTATTATTTTGGTGCTCTGATTCAGGCAGCAAAATGTCTTTGGCTCGGCCTCAGAAAGTTCAGCATGAATCTGCATCCTGTTGTAAGTAACTTGATGTTGTTGTAAGCAAGGTCTTCGAATCATAATTTAAAGGTGCAATCATTTTATTCATATCTGCCTTTTGTTCAAGACTAGGTCTCATGATAACTTACATACAAAAAGAAGTACAAGTACATCAGTCAATTATATTTCAATAGATTTTTTTAGTGCCAGAACAATTAACATCATCATAACAAAATACAATTCCAAAACTGATGGTGTTTATGGAATAGACCACATGTTTAAATTGGGAACACTTTACTTTAAATATATATTTACAAACAAGCCAAGACTAATATTAAAGATCAGAAAATTGCATTGGATAGACCATATCAGTTCTAATTTCTGATATAGAACATATGCCATGGTCAACGACAGGGAAGGAATGTGAAAGGAACGGAAATAAAATAAAAAATAAATGAAGAGGAAGGAGGCATGCAGACCAGATTTTGTCCTTGCGGCCCACTGGTGGTCCACGGCCCACAAATTAAGAACCACTGATCTAGATCAAGGAAAGTAATGGTGCCTCTCTATTCTGCTTTGGTCAGATTCAGCTGGGATACTGTGTCCAATTCTGGGCACCATAATTCAAGAGGGATATTGACAATCTGGAACATGTCCAGAAGAGGGTGACTAAAATTATCAAAAGTGTGGAGACCATGCCCTATGAGGAGCAACTTAAAGAGCTGGGCATGTTTAGCCTGCAGAGGAGAAGGTTGAAAAGAGACATGATAGCCATGTATAAATATGTGAAAGGATGTCATAAGGAAGAGAGAACAGGTTTGTTTTCTTCTGCCCTGGAGACTAGGACTCGGAGCAATGAGTTCAAATTACAGGAAGGGAGATTCCACCTGAACATTAGGAAGAACTTCCTGACCAACAGTTTAACTCCCAGTCTTGGAGTGTGGTGGAAGCTCCTTCCTTGGAGGCTTTTAAATAGAGGCTGGATGGCTATCTGTTGGGGTGCTCTGATTGTGCTTTTCCTGTATTATGGAGGTTGTATTAGATGGTCCATGTAATCTCTTCCAATTCTATGATTCTACTATAATGCTTTCCAATTTTTTGTGTCAGAAGTGACTGCAAATCGCTTCTGGTGTGAGAGAATTGGCCGTCTGTGGGAGGCTTCTCATATGTCCCCGCATGGGAAACTGGAGCTGACAGATGAGAGCTCACCCCATCTCACAGATTCGAACCGTTAACCTTCAGGTCAGCAATTCAGCTAGCGCAAGGGTTTAACCTATTGTGCCACCATAGCTCCTTATCTTTTCCAATGAGTCATATTGTCTCATGATGCATCCAAAATAAAACAACCACAGCTTGGTAATTTTAGTTGTCAGTGAAAGTTTAGGCTTGATTTGTTCTAGGGCTTTTTTAAACAATCTCCCTAGACCTTTTCTCCAGGACTGTATTTAAAATGAATTCACCATATTATCTTCCTTTGCTATCCAACTTTCTGAATCATACATAGAAACTGAAAATACTATGGTTTGAGTGATATATACTGATGGGATCATGAGCTGTCAGCAACTGACTCAGAAAAGGATCTTCCCTTATAGTACAAAGTTCAACAAAATCAGACTGTGGCTGCTATAAAAAAGCTAAAGTCCACATTGGCCATAATTAAAAGGGAAACTGGAAATAAAATTGTCAGTATAATACTGTACATTTGGCCCTCCATATCCATGGATTCAACTATCCATGGCTAGAAAATATTGAAAATTAATTCCAAAAGACAAAATTTTGGTTTTACCATGTATATAAGGAATACTTTTCTGCTATAACATTGTGTATAATGGAACTTGCACATCCATGGATTTTGGTATCCATGTGTGTGTCTTGGAACCAACACTGAGGGCTATTGTAGGAGAAGGAGAGGAGGCAGAGGAGGAGGTTGTGGTGGAGGAAGAAATTTTATTTGTTACCCACCTCTCCTCTCAAAGCGGGATCCAACACAGTAAAAACACCTTAACATAGAATACATACACCAAAACACACGGTACAAAAGACAGTGGTAACAGAATGTGAATCCAAAACTCATGGTTCAAAGCTGACTGGGTAGATCTGCAGGAAGAGATAGGTCTTTAATTGTCTCTTTAATTCCGACAGCTCATTTAGCTGTCTGATCTCTTCCATTGGTTGTTCCACAGTCTTAGGATAACTGATGAAAAGATCTTCTGGGCGACGATCACCAGTCGGATTCTGGCTGGTTGGAGCAGATGCCCCTCAAAAAACCTAAGTGTTCGGGGCGGATTGTATGGGAGAAGGCAATCCTATAGGTAACCTGGATCCAAACCATGTAGGGCTTTAAAGGTCAAAACGAATACCTTGTACTTTGCCAAGTAACTAATTGGCAGCCAGTGGAGTGATTTTAGGATGGGTGTGAGATCTTCACTCCTGGATGTTTCCGTAACAAATCTGGATGCCAAATTTTGAACTAGCTGGAGTTTCCGAACTTGGTACAAAGGTAGCCCAATGTACAGCACATTGCGGAAGTCCAACCTTGAGGTTACCAGCATGTGCACTACTACCATCTGATTCTAGGAAAGCATGCAACTGGCATATCAGTTGAAGCCGGTAGTAAGCACACTTCTGGATATCACCATGTAAAATCCATGGTGGAAAAAGCTTTAAAAAGTGCAAAATAGTGTAATCATCAAAGGACTGGAGCAACAAAGAGGATGCAACACTTGGGGGTGTCTAAGGAAAGTCAGGTGACAAAGATCTGCCCGGTGAAATCCACAGTTAGGTGAAATCAAACATGTGGACAATTTCAACAGAAAAAAGGACACCATGAAAATGAACAAAATCTGGCTACCAGTATTAAAAACCTCTAATATCATAACAGTAAATAAAGAACAACACTCAAAAACGGGAAATCCAGACAAGAAGCAGACAGGGCCAGCTAATCACCTCCCAAAAAAGGATTCCCCCAGGCAGTTAAGAAGCCAGACTTTGAAACTGCTGGGCCATTAAATGCTAATTAAGGTGTCCAATTGAAACATGAACACCTACCTCCAACAGACAAGAGTTGGATTTCTAAAACTACAACTCCCAGGACACCCCATAGCACTGAGCCATGGTAATTCAAGTTGTGCCAAATTCAAGCCTAGAGATTTTTTTTGAAAAACCCACTGT